GATAGCCTCATTATCATAATCATTATAAACATTTTGTCAAAGTTCCTTTTTTCTCTGTTTAGTGTCTTAGGTAAATGAGGTCATATTTTACATAAACTAACACAGGATAAATATTCACACAGCATTAGATCATAACAATTTATTTATAAAAATTATTTTATGTAACTGCCCATTCACCCACTGTATAGATATACTATAACTTAACAATTTTCACATCATGAGACATATATTTTTGTTGTTTCCAGATGATTCTTTAAAAACAAAAAAGGGCCCTAACCGGTTTGGCTCAGTGGATAGAGCGTTGGCCTGCAGACTCAAGGGTCGCAGGTTCGATTCCGGTCAAGGGCATGTACCTTGGTTGCGGGCACATCCCCAGTAGGAGGTGTGCAGGAAGCAGCTAGCTGATCGATGTTTCTCTCTCATCGATGTTTCTAACTCTCTATCTCTCTCCCTTCCTCTCTGTAAAAAGTCAATAAAATATATTAAAAATAAATAAATAAATAAAAACAAAAACAAAAAAGGATAAATGGACAATAAGTGAATTTATCTGAACAGGATTCCAGTTTATGTTTCTGGATGTTTTTGTATCAGCATGTAAAGCAAAATCCAAGACCTTTTCTATAATTATAATGTATCGGTGATTCGATTTCTGATTGAAAATGGAGAGCCTCAGGAGAACTGATTACTCATCCTTAGAGGCCACTGTTATGAAGGAGCCATCTCTGTGCTCCAACATGGTTATCATGAAAAGCCGTGTGTAGACTTTCAGAAAGTCAGCCCTGGCAGGAATATCAGAGATCATTGAGTTTTTCCCCTTCATTTACATGTGGGAAAACTATGCCCGGAAGTTATTGATGGAGTTAGAACTAGACTCTACCTTGGTACTTTTTCTATCGCCCCACACTGCCAAAATTGATACCATGTCCTCCTGCTAGGAACACCACAAAGCATGATGAATACTCTTTGACCTCTAGGAACTTCATCCTATGGGTCCTGGATGGCCCTTGGAAGGTGGAGTGGGCTGAGCTCCAGGTAGCTGTGGTAGGGAATTCAGAAGGGGGAATCAGCTCCAATGACCTAAGGGTCAGGAAGGCTTCAAGGACATGGGGCTTAAACAAGCGGACAGTAGGAAGCCAGGAATTCCAGACTTACAGGGTTGGGAAAGGAGTGCAAAGGCAGGTGGTGGTAGCCCAAGGCCTGGGCCACTGAGTAACTGGACACTTTCACCCAGGAGAAGAGTTGGAGTAAAACTGCTGGCAGGTAGGGTGGGACCACATTGAAGAGGGTTTGGAATGTAAAGGTAAGGAGTTTAGACTTTACCTGTAGGCAGTTAGGAGCTATTCAGATCAAAGATTGGGGTGGGGTAATGTGTGCAAAGTTGATGGAAGATAGGCCAGACACAGGAAAGGATGCAAGAAGGGACACCTGTTTAAACATCTCTTGCCAATATTCAGGCACAGGATTGTAAGTATTGGGTTAATGTTATCTGTGAGACTGAGAGGGAGGATATTAATTAGAGAGATGTTTGCTCATTATTTCAACTTTTATTCAACTTCTGTTAGGCACAAGGCCTAGTTCCTGTGAGTACTCAAGCAGCTCAGTCCAGTGATTATAATACAACATATGTTGAGTGCAGTTATGGAAGTGTGTAAAAGACAGGGTGGTTCACAGGGGAGGGAGAGTTTCAGTAACTAATAATGTGGTAATTAACAAAGCGGTTTGAGCCTGGATGAAGTGCCAGTGGTAGCTGAAAGATAGGAAAGTCTGAAGGGGAATGGGACTTTCGGAAAAAGGTGATGAATTCCTTTTATACCATCTCAAGTGAGAGAGAACAGTGTCTGGGTAGAAATATCCACGAGGTAGTTGGTGATATCAATGACCTATTTGAATGTTATGAGTTCTTGACTCAGAAAATCTTGAATTTTAAAGGCCACAGTTGCTTGGCTCAGTAAGACCAGGATTAGCAGTTGCAGTCAAACTAAAAGTATTGTTAAAAGATGAGACAAAGATGTGGCTCCGTGGTTGAGCGTTAACCTATGAACCAGGAGGTCACAGTTCAATTCCCAGTCAGGGCACATGCCCGGGTTGTGGGCTGGAGCAATGATTCTCCCTCATCATTGATGTTTCTCTCTCTCTCTCCCTCCCTGAAATCAATAAAAAAAAAAAAGTCCTCAGTTAACGTCATCCACAGGTCCTGGGACTTTAAGCAAAATGATGTGTAACAAAACCAATTTAACCAGAGGCTAATGGATGTAACAGGAGGTAAGTTGCTCTGGCATCTCATCCGTGTTATAATGAAATGACTTTGAAGGAAACAGCATTGTTCAAGGACCTGCTGTATGCTTATTTGGAACATGTGAGAAGCAGCAGTACTTTCCTCCAATTTCCTAGCAAACCTCCCACACTGCGTGCTGTTTCTTTAAAATTCCAACAATGTTTCTATTGCATCTTCTAGAGAATTTGCCGACAAAATTGGGCATTTTATTTTGTAGCTATAGTTTTCCATGCTTCATTTTTTCTGTTTTCA